ATATTCGGAACAGGTGTAGTTTGCTGTACTGTTAGATACGAAACATTTAAATAAATAGGACACTGCTGCAAGTCGATCTCCATTGGCCTTCTTTTGCTCTCTTATTTCATGATTGTCAAATCTTATTGCTGTGAGAGGAAATAAGAAGCGTTCTTTTGACATTGTAGCACGAAAAATTGGCCTACCTAAAATACTTCGAAAATAATGAATCGACATTCTCATGATTAGACTTTAGTACACCTGAAAGGTATAAAAGACTCAAAAAAGCCTTAAGTTCACCTTCGTTTAGATGATCGACAAATGTACATGTATCCCCATAATTTACACTGAGCTCGGTAATTTTTTCATTTGTGTACTGTAGAATAGAGGCCAACACGTCAGGAGTTATAAGAAGTGACCAGGATTCAAGTGGACTGGATGGTTTTGTTTCTAAGGCAGGTCCACGAAGACCATGAAGGTGTGTAATAATGTTCTGTGCGCAAATTTTTGATGGGGCCGGAGCATTTTTAGCCCACTTATATCTGTTCCGTCCATAGTAAAAATTTGTTTCATTATTGGATGCTGTTTCACATTCGTCGCTTGATAAGTCACTTACGTCAATTTCTGTAACTGTGTCGTGAACCGAATGTTCACTTTCAGTGTCAGTATCACTGTTATTAGAGTCACTATAAGTGTTAATATTTTCGGTTGGTTCCTACAGAGATTCGAAAAAATCAAAAACATTTTCACTTGTCACCGTACTTCCGATAATTCTTAAAGCCATTTTAATGTATTATCTTAAATAATAATAACGTAACTACTATGGTGGGATCAAATCCGACCGGAACTCAGCAGCACGTGTGCACTATCCCACTGATCGTTTGTTACTAAGCGGCATGCTAAACTAAGTACTTAATTGGGAGAATACATAGAATAACAAGGTCGTTCGCCAAACTGTCTACCAGTGGCGCACGAAATTTCAAGTCCTGGGGTCAAATTTGACCCCACGATAGTAGTTCAGGGTTAATAAAGACAATTAATTAACTTCGATTAAAAACTCGAAGTCAATGGATGATAAAAGTTTTTTGTGATTAACGTTTTAGACTTACTTCATCAAATTTGGGCAATCCAGCAAACACAGAATGTAATAAACATGAATATAAATTATAGATAACACTACACCAAAACAAGAACAAACAGTTTAAAATTATTTAAAAATTATTCTACGCTCTACATTCTTGTCGGCAACAGGAGAGACAATGGTATTTAACGGAAATGCTAAGGTGTCATGTGACATATGACAGCTTTGATGGGCAGTCGTGGATCTGTGATTTGTACATATTAAAATTCTGTGTAAGTAAGCTAGCATTGACTAAAGGTCCAACTAATACTACTATAGAATCAGCTCATGAAATATAACATATAGAATATTTTGATTTAACTAGATTGCATAATCCAGATTTCACACTTACACCCGTCTGTAATAATAAGGTAAGTTTGAGAGCAAATGAAGTGGATATAAAGTGTGAATGAAAGAAATAGACTAAAAAATAATCTATTAGACAGTGGAAGGTTGACTACAATAAAGTGGTCTACCAGGCACTATCAATATTGTAAAAAAGAGAAGTAATCTGACTATGAAATTGAAATACTAAAAATTAAAACAAAATTGAAAGCAGTGTATAAATGGGGAATAGTTCAAGTAGTTCAGTTAAAAACCCAGTCAACGGAAGAACTGTAAAACTAATATGTAAAAAGCGTTACTAAAGACCAACTGACCAACAGTGGGAGATGTTGAAATATACAACTGTGGAATTGGTACATCTAAATTACGCAGAGGTATGGACAGTGTAATTAACGCCAACTATAGATCAATTGAACCTGAGCAAGCTAGTTTTGTAAATTGTTAAAGAATACAACAGTAAAGTTCATCAAAGTATGAAATTAATAAATTCTTAATGGGTATACTCGGTGCAGGAAGTCTAAACAGCCAAGCTGGGTCCATTACGAGGTGAAGCTGTAATAAAGTTTCCATTTGTTCCATTTATGATCTCCAAATCTTCCAATAAATGGAAACAAATGGAAACAAATGGGAAAGATTTGATTATAAAAATTGTTCTTGATATTTGACTTTAATTTTTCAAACTTAATAGAAGTCTTCAACTATGTGTACGAGTTTTTTCTATTTGATGTGGGGACTCCTTAATTGTTCTTTAGTTTGTGTATTGAGCATTTTCCATTGTTTAGTCGTCTTCTCAGGAGCTTCAATCTTTTATTCTCTTGTATAGTTCGCTGGACTTTTTGACTCTTAAATATGCTTTGTGTTTAAATGGTTATTTTTTCGTCTTGGCGTCTTGTAGGACAGCATTTTACTTGAGCCCTCAAATAGTTTCTACGATATTTTCGTTTAGGGCATTGAAATTATTCATGCATTCATTTTGTTTTAGGATTTTATGGATATTGCCTTGTCATTTATTTAAATTCGTTGGGTCGTTCCATATTGAGTTGGCTTTCTTCCTAATCATTTTGGATCTTTCTGTTATTAACTCTAATTTTAGTTTGGTTCTTACCATTCTATGATCGCTGCCTGTGGTAAAGCTATTAAGGACTGTGACATCGTTGAATATATATTTTTTGTCAGGAATTATGTAGTTTACCTAGTTTTTTGTCTTATAATCTGGGCTTTTCCACGTCCATCTTCTGTGATATATTTTAGAGAAGAAACTATTCATTTGGTATAGATTTTGTTGTAATAGAAATTCTAGTAGTGTTTGTCCACGTTCGTTTTTGCCTTTGGGTCCAAATATATCTAGTGCTATTTCTAGTTCACCCTGCTTTAGACCGATCTTTGCGTTAAAGTCGCCGCATATCATCGTGTAGTGTGTTTGTGTTTCTTTCAGTGCCGCAGAGCTGTCATTTCTTCAATATCCTCATCCGGATGGTCCGTTGTTGGTGCGTATACCTTCTTCTTCTTTTTCTTCTTCTTCAAGTTCCACTCCTATCGGAGATTGGAAATCATTCTGGCAATTATAATTTTATTGGTTACTCGCCTGAATAGTTCAATTGAACTGCATCCAAACCACTCACGGAGATTGCGTAGCCACGAGATTTTACGTCTTCCTACGCTTCTTCTACCTTTGATTTTACCCTGCATTATATTCCTTAATAGTTCGTACTTTTCACCTCTCATGATGTGCCCCAAGTATTCCAATTTCCTGATCTTTATGAAATTTAAAACTTCGCATTGTTTTCCTAGTTGTTCGAGAACTTGTTCGTTTGTTTTGCGATCCATCCATGATATTTTCAAAATGCGTCGGTAACACCACATTTCGAATGCTTCTAGGTTTTTAATGTTGGATTTTTTAAGTGTCCAAGCTTCAACTCCATACAAAAGGGTAGAGAAAATATAACATCGAAGCATTCTTATCCGGAGCGATATATTGATATCGCGATTACAAAAAAGTTTTCTCATTCTATTAAAAGTTGACCGCGCAATTTCAATGCGGCATCTTATTTCTTTTGTCTGATCAGTATCTTCTGTGATCCATGCTCCAAGGTATTTGTACGAAGATATTTGTTCAATTTCTGTATTATCTAGTACTAGCTTAACTTTGATGTTTTGTGCTTTTGTCAATACCATGAACTTGGTTTTCTTCAAATTGATTTTTAGTCCATAATCGTTGCAATATATATTTAGTTGTTCAGCAAGGTGTTGCAGTTCTTCTAGTGTTCCTGCCAAAAGGACGGTGTCGTCAGCATATCTTATGTTATTAAGTTCTTCTTTTTGTGCCACTCCTATCGGAGATTGGAAATCATCAAGGCTATTCTGACCTTGTTTACGGCTGACCTAAAGAGTTCATTAGTGGTACAGCCAAACCACTCTCTCAAATTCCGCAACCATGACATTCTTCTAAGACCTGGATTCCGTTTTCCTTCTATTTTTCCCTGCAATATATTTTGAAGTAATGCGTATTTATGTCCTCTCATCAGATGACCAAAATATTCGAGTTTTCTTCGCTTTAGCGTTAACAAAATCTCTGGGTCTTTTCTTATTCTTCGTACTACTTCACAGTTTGTTATTCTTTCAACCCAACTAATCTTCAGCATTCGACGGTAGCACCACATCTCGAAACTTTCAATATTTTTCATGTTGTTCTGTTTGAGAGTCCAGGCCTCTACACCGTATAATAGCGTGTTAAATACATAGCCTCTCAGCATTATTAATCGTAGAGGGATGCTTATATTTCTGTTGCAGAAGAATTTTCTCATCTTTATGAAGGTGGCCCAATTTCGATACGTCTTTTTATTTCACTGTTTTGGTCTCCAGTTTCGTTTATTAAAGTTCCCAAGTATTTGTAACTCGATACTTTTTTAACTTGAGTGCCGTTTATACTAATATACGCTGGTTGTGTCATGTTTCTACTGAAGACCATATACTTGGTTTTTTTAATATTGATATTTATACCATAATTGTTGAAAGCAATATTTATGTCTGTAAGTAATCTTTGTAATTCTTCTACTGTTCTTGCAACTAGTACAGTGTCGTCCGCGTATCGAATTTATTTACAATCTCTCCATTAATTACGATTCCTCCGTTTGCTTGTAAAAGGGCTTCCTGACAGATGCTTTCACTATATACAGAGGTGACAAAATGCAACGCTGTCGTAATCCTCTACGTATTTCTATTGCTTGTGATGTTTCAGTGTCTATTTTGAATATATTTTGCGTATACCTGAATAATGTTTATTTTATACCTTCGGTTTAAAACTTTTTAAATTATTTTGTATTAAATTCTACCTTAAAATTATTATTAAAATTAATTAATAATTATTTTAGTATATAATTAATACAGTATTAATTACACTTACATATCGTTTCAAGAACAAAATATGATTGAAATTTTAAATAGTTGTAGTTCAGATTGCTTTCCTGCCTGGCATCCTTAGTTTACTGGACAAAGGCTGTGACTTGTCATCATAGCTTTTTATATAGATATATAAATATATAATATATATACTGACCTTCTGTAGCAGCTGCAGCTTCCACTCCATTTTCATCAACATCAATAAATGCCTTTTGTAGAATTTCGGAAACCATTAGTTTTTCCTTGGAAATTCCAGTGAGGTCACCTTGCACCTCAAAAATCTTTTTAAGTCCTAACTAAAAATATAATACCATTGTTAAAAAATGAGTAGTTGGTCAAAGCAAAGTATAAATTTATTTGATTCTAATTGGTACAGTCACTAGATGTCACCACTTTTTATGTCTCAATAGATTTTAATATACGATTGTTTGTTTGATATACGTTATACTAGATGGTGCTATATCGTCGGCTTAGTGTCACAAAAATGTAACTACATTTTTTCCCGTTTTGAGATATCTACACCATTAAACTTAGTTTAGTGAGTTCTATTATGTGACACAAAATTGTATCTCTCTCAACACCTAAAATCCCAGTAAGGAGTTTTCGTAACTACATTTTTAAGCAATCCTTTAGTGTCACAGAAATGTAAGTGCTGTTACATTTCTGTGATACTGTGTTTTCGTACTATAATAAGCTGATATTGAGTTACATTTTTGTGGCAATAATTTTATTGCACAGAATGGTGATTGCAGGTAGCAAGTTATTTTGTTATTATGTTTAGTAGGGTGGTCCGTTGTATTTGTAGTTCTGTTACAGTTGTAAAACGCGTAAGCCAGTTGATAATTTGTTTATTATATTTAGCAGGGCGGTCCGTTTCATATAAGTTCTGTTACAACTGTGAAGACGTAAATACGTGAATCAGTTTTAAGTTAATTGTTGTAGATATTGTTATAATAATCGTTATAATACTGTTTTATAACTACACAATAATGGATTCAAGAGGGAAGAAGTTAGTTTAGTTAGCTTTTAACAAACCGGTACGAGATGATAAAACACATTGTCATAATTTACCGCTCTCATCACAACAAGTGACATTCAGATAGTGCCTCCCATGTTTCTACCAGTGAACCTAATGTACCAGGATATGAACAATGTGAGGATATATTTTTTGGCGACGATTAAGAATAAGTAAGACGTGTGGTGATCAAAACCGCAACGTAAATATATCTGCTATGTTGCTTTAAGCTGTTCAGACATTAAGAGATTCCAAAAATTGACCATTCCTTTTTAAACCCAGCTATTCGATGATGGAGTGTGACTAGGTCTATGGTCATATTGAGAAAGCATAAAAAAATGTGGACATATTTGACCCCACTGGGTGGAACTCCATAGTAAGAATGGCATCAAAGAAATGAAAACACACTGTACATGAAATTGGACAGGAAGAAATTTATAACTTTTTATGAGCTTTTGCCACAATTCTAATAAAAAAACAAAAAAGTGGACATCGATGGTAGTAGTATCAATTGGAAAAATTAACATGGCTGCAGTATAGAAAAGGCGATAATAAACATATATTTTTAAATTTATTTTAAATAAAACAAGCAAAATGAAAATTTCGGGTCTTTTGAGAAAAAGAAAAGTTATCCGAAAAAAAACTAGAAAATTTTCCATGCCAACTTAACAATGGTGTATTAAGGACAAGGGCCAATAAAAGAGGAAAAATATAAGGATTAAGAAGAACTGTGCAATAAAGGCATTATTCCATTCCAGTATCATCTCTTTGAATAAGTCGTTGCTCACCAACAATAAGGACAATCAAACACATGTGGAAAGTGATTGACGTAATTAAATTTATTGTTTGAAAATGTTTTCAAAGTTTGTGTTTAATTAAAAAAAATATTTTATGATTTTAAATAAAGTTATAAACGTCTCGATGGAAATAACCACAATATATTTATTAAAAAAAGAAACTTTATTGACGTTTCGACTTCTAATAATTCAGAAATCTTTGTCTGAACATTTTATTAAATTCTTTTTTTAATAAATATATTGTGGTTATTCCCATCGAGACTTTTAAATAGTATTTAATTTCACAAGAAAATAGCTTTAGAACAATATAAAGTTATAAAATGAATTATGACTATTATTTTTTTTTTACCGCATCAACCCCTAAGGTTATTAGCGGGGTGGTATATCTTTATTTTAGAAAAGTTACAATAATATGTTATTAAAATTTACATAGCAGTTTTGGAAGATAAACATTTTATGTTATGTTACAGTTTGTTATAGAGTTTACAATTTTTGATAAAATTTATTGTATTATTGATGTCTTCTTCTAGAGTTTCTTTTAAATTGTGGTTTATTTTTGCTGTCGATCTTGCTGTTGAGTACACTGGACAGTCTATCATAATATGTTGCACTGAAAATGGTATTTGACAGGTGTGGCAAATCGGCTGAGGGTCCTTGGAGATGATGTATCCATGTGTAAATTTTGTATGGCCTAGCCGCAGTCTGTTAATAATTACTTGGTTATGTCTTTGAGCTGGGAGCGATAGTAAAGCAGAAGTAACATCTGGTTTGATAATTTTTAATTTTGCTTCTGTTTGGTTCCATTTTACTTGCCAGGTTTTGTTAATATAAGTTTTTATTAATGTTTTTTGGTCTGAGATCGGTAAGTTTTGCATCATAGGAATTGTCATGTTATTGATAGTTTCTCTTGCTGCTTTTTCAGCTGCTTCATTACTCTTTATTCCAACATGGGATGGTACCCATAAAAATTTTATGTTTTTACCACGTGTTTGGGCAATGTATAGCATGTCTTTTATGAGTGCTAAATTGGCATGAGTAGGATACATCTGCTTGACACCATTTAAGACACTCAAAGAATCTGATATGATAAGAAAGTTTATATCATTGCTGGAACATTGGTTGAGTGCGTTGAAGATTGCTTGCAGTCTTGCAGAAGTGACTCTCAATTGATGTATATTGAATTCAAATCGATTTATTCGTTCATTGAAAGGTAAGTTTCTAGGGCAATGATTTGAGTACAGATTTGGAGGGTTGCTTCTTATTAGGCTAGTTATAAAAGGGTTTTCATTTGCACTGAGATATTTAGTAGCACAACACATCGAAAAATATTGTCTTCTGAGAGCTAATGGCGGTTCTCCTGCTAGGACTTGAAGGCTGCTAATTGGCGTGGTTCTGAAAGCTCCGAAAACTATACGTAATGATGTGGATTGGATGATGTCCAGTTTGTTCAATTGACTTTTAGTAGCAGTTTCGTAGCATATACATCCGTAATCTAGTTTGCTTCTAATTAGAGCTTGATATAATCGTAGAAGAATAGTTGTGTCTGCGCCCCATTTGTGATTGAATAGAACTTTTAGTAGATTTATTCTATGTTGGCATGATTTAATTAGTTCATTTATGTGCAATGTCCATTTGAGTTGAGAGTCGAATGTAATTCCCAAAAATTTGATTTCATTGATTGTTATAAGAGTATTTCCGTTTAGTTTTAAATTTAAGTGGTGTTGTGTTTTCCTTTTGTCAAATATTATTACTTTAGTTTTTTCAGTTAAAAATCTCAAACCTATATCTAAAGACCACCCTTCTAATTTATTGAGTGTATTTTGTAATATTGATGCAGCTGATTTTAAGATCATCGGCGTAAAGGTTTGCTTTTACTGGAAGCATAAAATGGTTAGATACGTTGTTGATTGCTATTAAAAACAGCAGGGGGCTTAATACAGATCCTTGAGGGATACCATTTTCCAGTGATTTCTTAGTTGACATGACTCCGTTTGTTTTAACTTTTATACTTCTGTTCTCCAGGAAGTTTTTGGTGAAGGCTAAGAATTTGCCATCTATTTTCCAACCTTTCATTGTTTTTAAGATGTGATATGTCCACGTGGTGTCAAATGCTTTTGTGATGTCGAAGAAAATTGCTATTAATTTTTGTTTATGTATAAAAGCTTCGTGTATTTCAGATTCTACTGCTATAATATTATCTATTATAGACCGTTCTGATCGGTACCCACTTTGCATGGATGTAAGGAGATTTTTCTTTTCTAAGTACCATTTTAATCTTTTGCTTAAAATCTTTTCCATTATTTTGCAGATGCTACAGGTAAGAGATATTGGTCGATACGAAGAAGATAAGTTTTTTGGTTTATTGTCTTTTAAAAATGGTATTATAATTGCTTCGCGCCAGAGAGATGGAAAGTTATGGGTCGAATAAATTTTGTTGAAGATCTCTACTAAAGTAACCTTCGCGCTAATGGGTAGTTTTTCTATGAAAATTGGTGGTATGTCATCAGGTCCAGGTGAGGTATTTTTGAGGTTATTAAGACTTTCATTTAACTCATCAAGTGTTATGGAAGTGTTTAGTGGACTAGCAGTATCTTCTATGTTAATTTTTGATGTTTCTGTTCTTTCTTTATGTTCTAAGAAATTTGGGTGGTACTGCTGATTGCTTGAATACAACTGATAGTGTTCTACTAAAATTTCTGAGATTTCATGTTTGTCTGAAGTTGTTAGATCGTTTGCAGTTATTGTGTCAATATGGTTAAATGTTTTTGAACCTTTTATTTTCCTTATTTTTTGCCATATATCCCTTATGGGCGTAGATGAGTCAATTGACGACACGTAATTGGTCCAGCTCTCTTTTTTTGCTTTCTTTATTAAAAATCTAGATCTGGCCCTTAAAGATCTAAAATTGTTTAAGTTATTAGGTGTGTTATACTTCTTGTATATATTTAAAGCATGTTTTGTTTGCTTTAAAGCGGATGCGATTTCAGTGTTCCACCAAGGAAGAGGAGCTTTTGTGATATTTTTGGTTTTTCCTATAGAATCTCTGGCTGCGTTTAATTAAAATTTACTTTAATTACCACGTTTCATATGGTGTTGTGCAGGTTTTTTCATCTTTGTCATGAGTAATTATTATTGGAAAATGATCACTGTCGTATAGGTGGTCCAATGTATTCCACTGTAAAAATGGAGCTAAAGTTGAATCACTGATAGATAAGTCTATGGAGGAAAATGTGCCATTATGTGCATTGAATCTAGTAGGTGTTCCTGTGTTTAGCAAAATTAGTTTTATGTTGTTAATTGCTTCTAATAATATTCGTCCATTTTTATCTGTTTTTTTGGATCCCCATGCGATGTTGTGACAGTTTGTGTCACCCAAAATTAATTTTGGAGATGGAATTTGTTTAATTACATTTTGAAGTTCTAATAGAGTAGTTTCGTCAGGATGCGGTAAATATACGTTGCATATGTTGATTTTAAAATGATG